GTCTTATGGAGGCTGTGAAATCCCGTGCTCCTAGAGATTTTCAAAATGCAGAGTCATTGCTGCGTGATCAATTTGTGTGTGATGGGGCTCTTCGTCGTGAGTTAAAGCAGTTTGCGCGCGGGAAGCCAACAGCCACCTTGCTTGAGGTTAGGGCCGAGGCACTTCGCTGGGAGCGGGAGGTGCGACCGAGTAGTGTACTCGGTTTAAAAGCTTCTGCACCTTTAGTATTTGGTTCACAGTATGGCGTGCAGAGCTGCCCTCAAGGGGCGATTAGTTCACACCACACCTCCGAACTGAGCCAGCTGAGGGACATGTTGCAGCGGCAGCAGTCGCAGCTTGATCAACTTACCCAGAGTATAGCTCGCTTGCAAAAACCCAGCCAGCAGGGCCGTTCTCGAGACTCCATTATCTGTAGGCGCTGCCAGAAAGCTGGCCATTTTGCTAGGGATTGTGATGGGGTTCGGGTTCCGGTACGGGCCTCTGAGAAATCACCTCAGGTTGCGGAAAACTATTTCCCACCGAGTCGCTGAGCCACGATTCGGGTGGGGTAGTTGTTGGCTCTAGGGGTGGGGTTTTTCAGGAAGGTTCTAATCTGGTGTCATCGTGTCCACATATGGTTGTAAGCATGGGTGGAGTTAAAGTTCCTTGTTTGGTAGACACTGGTTCTATGGTGTCTACAGTTACTGAGAGTTTTTTTACTCAACATTTTGAGTTATGGGGTCAGGAGAAACTGCAGTCCTGTCATTGGCTTCAGCTTAGAGCTGCCAATGGCCTTGCCATTCCCTACATAGGCTATTTAGAGCTGGATATGGAACTCTGTGGTAAGGTAGTTTGTCGGTGTGGGGTATTGGTGGTCAAGGATCCCCCTGGTGGTGTATCATCACAGGCTCCCGGTGTTTTGGGGATGAATGTGATTAATCGCTGTTATGGTGAGCTATTTGATCAGCATGGTTCCACTTTGTTTAACTCACCGGCTGTTTCCAGGGCTCCTGAGTCCATTAAACAGGCTCTCCACAGATGCCATCAGGCCACCACTCGACCGTTAGATGACGGTAAAGTAAAAGTGTGTGGTAAGAAGGCCCACCATATTCCTGGTGGCACACTGAAAACTATACCAGCCACTTGTTCAGACAGCTATTCAGGTAACGCTGTTTTGTTTGAATCTTTGGATTCCAGCCTTCCTGCTGGGCTCCTCATTTCCCCTTCTCTGGTCCAGGTTACAAGGGGAACTGCTTATATCCCCATTGTGAATGTGGGAATTACAGATGTGGTTTTACACCCTCGTACCTGTATTGGTACATTGAGTTCTGTTCATGTTGTCAGCTTACCTGCAGGTGTCCAAGCAGTATCGTCAGAGATCGCCGCTATGGGAGAGACCATTGTTGCTCCTTCCGTCCGTGAGCAAATAGAGGCGTTGGATATGACTGGACTGCCAGCTGAGGAACAGGGTCAAGTAAGAACTTTACTTAAGGGTTATTGCTCAGTCTTTTCTGCACATGATGGCGATTTGGGGTGTACCAATTTAGTCACCCATGATATCCCTCTTTTGGATGACGCACCAGTTAAACAGCGTTACAGACGCATACCCCCTTCTGAGTATGAGGCAGCTAAAGAACATATTCACAAATTGCTGGAGGCACAAATAATTAAGGAAAGCAGCAGCCCATATGCTAGTCCTATTGTGCTGGTTAAAAAGAAGGAT